CCCTCTTAATTTAAGAACAAATTAAGAACAATCCAGCCTCAGATTTTCGAAAAATTAAGAACAGTCAGCCTGAACTTAAATTTACTCGTTCTTATAAAAAAAGAGTGTATTTGTGCAATTAAATGTCATTGAAATTATTGGACAAAATATTGCTACCGTTGAGAAGAAAATGAAACTTAATCCGCACAAAAGTTGTGGATGACAATGATGTTTGTTGAAGGAAAACCCGTAAATTAGCTATGAAAAATGTGTCTCTTTGGGTTTCATTCGTCTCAAATAGTTGGGCACCCCTACCCCTCTTCACTAACTCACTCTGTGGGTTGGCTAAGAGAAGAATGAACGGTTTTCTGGGGTTTGCCTTCAGCACCTGCTAAATGCCCTCAGAATAATAAAAGTACTAAAATGATGACGTCACAAAGATATATTTTTAGAATTTTTAAATTTAGATCCCATAACCTGAAAGAGCATCATGAAATACCGGTAAATATGAAAATCCAGTCAAATGCGTTACAAATTGGCTGAGATATGGTCACATGTATTTTGGCTCTTTCCCCATCAAACCTCTATATTTTGGTCTCTCTTCATAACTTTATGAACAGAGCGAAAATAACAGTGTTTCGTTAGCAAACTTCAAACTAACGGCATCTCAACTGATTTTAAACATATTTGACTAATTTTGCATATGTGGAAGTATTTCATGAAGATCTTTTATGTTATGTGATTCTAAAAATAAGTTTTTGGTGACGTCACACTTGGCCTGTAGCTAACAAGTAGTATTAAGAGGATAAGACTCTGCGGAAAAGTGGAAAACACTAAGCCTGAGGCAATGTTGGTTGACGAGTTCAAGGACTGCGGAGCATTTTACGGGAAGTGTTTTTTTGGAGACGGGCAAACATGCTAAAAACCAAGACCGAGGTGACTTGTATCGTTTTAGTACATTTTGAAAATTATTTTGGGGCTGAGTTCCCTCAAGAACAACAGCTTCGATGCCCCAGGCAGATCTCTTTTTGAGGAGCTAGGAAAGACGAGCTGGCAACTAGTGTGTCTAAGATCCAGAGGGAAGGATTACTTTTATATATTTAGGATAATGATGCTCAGGCTGGGGTACAATCCTTCAAAAAAAAAATAACTTGTAGCATAGAAATTGACCCAAATAATAATTTTCAACACTGCACAAACATTTTTGCATTTTTCTCATTTTATGAAACTTAAAAAGTAATTGCACGATTGTCTGATCCAAAAGAATATCTTTGAACATTTTACATTTCAATTTTTTTTTTGCATATTTTTATCTATGTTTTCATGATAGGAATCCTTGAAATGCTGAAGCTTATGCTGAAGGACAACCGACTTAAAAAGGAGTGTGAATTATATATGAACTACATAAATTATTTGTAGAAGACTAAATTTTGAAAATCTAACCAAGCAGGGCTTTCTGGAGCGAGAAAAGATATTTTCAGCAAAACAGTAATGCATAACATTACTACTTTTTTAAACATGTCTGAATGGCAGTCCAATGCTGTTACAAAATAAGTCCTGTTTGCTCATTTTCATCAATTCTAGAAAATCTGTTTAAAATTTCTATATCATATTATAACTATAAGGCTATCTTTATCCATTTCTTATTATATCAGAGGTAGGCCAGGAAAGCGTTCGTGTCATCTGCCTTTCTGTCAGGGGCGCATCTTAGTTGGTTTCTCATGGTTGATAAAATTGTCTGGCGGTAGCATTATCATCTGTGTTACACAGAGTCTATCTGGATTTTAATGTGTCGAATAATAGAATGTATATGGAAGGCATTAAGAATAATATTTTTTTAATTGTTAATAAACTTTCTTTCGTTGGCCTTAAGACTCATCAATAAGCAATCCCATCTTCTCCATTATCAACCATTCCTGCAGGCTCGAAGATAGGTGTTTCGCTGCCGACTCAAATGATAGGCTAGAGGTTTCCAATTCACACAGATACGATTCGACAACGACATGATCAGTATTACAATCAATTGTTACATAAGAAAAATAGAAAAAAGTTACCTCTTATTGCACATGCATCTTGATAACTTTTTCAATTTGGATTTTTCCATCTGGATCTTTTATTCCACATGCATTTGGACCACTCTGAATCGCTTGAAATCAGCAACACGTGATGATTGGAATAGGGATTGAAGGTTGTCGAAAAAAGACACTTGAAGCTGTAGAAAAGCTAAGGCGAGATGCTTAAGAGACTTCGTAACCTTCAAACGCCAGTTGATAAATCGAAGTAACTTGTAACTCGTTTCGTTTGCCATTGCTGTTATAAACGAGGGACATCTTTTCAGAGTCAGTTGTATCATGTAAATAAAACTATGCCTTTGCAGTGCACCGAAGAGCGAAGGTTTGACAAACAAAGCCCAATGGGAAATCAAAGAAAATAGGAAGAACAATTAAACTCTTGACTTTGCCTAACTAGAAAAATGTAGTATCATGAAAATGCGACTCTGGGCACAATTCACCAAATCTCAGAGGATGTTGATAACACGTGATTGAAAGTGGGGGGGAGCAAGGCTAGCAAAAATAGGGGGCCAAGGCTTTTTACGACGGAACGGGGTAAAAGTGTCATACTAAAATACTTTACACCTGACACTCCATAAGGTATGATGTGGATCGAGAATAACGACATAAAGATGTTCGAAAGTAACGTGAGAGGAAAAATGCCGCGTTTGATTGGTTCATTGTTTTTGGCCAGTAACCTCTCACTTTGTTTAGGAGTCAAGGTGCAGACGAATATGGCCTTGCTTCTAACTCATAAGAAATCCCCTAAGAAAGAAACGTTAACAAAATGAGGTAACTTGCTACTTTTTTGTGGGGCAGAGGGTTGAATGCAGGCGTCTCTAGTTTTGCATTGATTTTTCTAATTTAAGAACAGCAAATTATAGCTTTTTTCTTTCACTTGTTCTTTTTTAGGACAATTTTTTTCTGGAAGGAAAAGATTAAGACCTCACGTAGGGCATAAAAACAAATTGACAACGGCTTAACTTCAAATAGTTTCCTAAACGGTTCAATAAGCTTATCCAGCATGGTTTTAGAAGCAATCAGTTTCGAAACAGCATGAAACTTAGGTAATTCAGTTAACAAAAGCTCTGTTTTTTAAAAATCCAAGAGGAAACAAAACTAATGGAGTTGATGCAACTGAAAACGAAGCATTTGGCTTTGTTGAAGCAGGCCTCCCCATTAGCCTGGCTGAGTATCAGAGCCTAGAAAATAGGGGTAAGAAAATTTTAAGGAAAAAGGGAAAGGCAATGGTAGCCGGGCTAGCCTCCTTGAATAAACCTATAAATCAGAAATGTGTGAATCACTACACGTTTTTTTATAAGAAAGTATTTTATAAGAAAGTTGTGTTTGGTTCTTCAAAAAGTTAAGAAAGTTCAGGGCTGGATCTTTGAAACCTAAAAAAGTTGAAAAATTCAGATATTCAAAGTTTCAAAGGAAATTGTGGTATAAGAGTGAAATATTTTAACAATACAGTAATGTGCTGAACAGGAAACAACGAAAACAGTATGACGTTGAGGGTTTTTGCGAAATATAGCATATTTATAGCATTTCATCTTTTCCATCATTGGGCATGCATAGTAACGTAAAATTTTCCAATTTTTAGTGCTGAAATTAGGAAATAGCTAAGAAAGTCTGAGGGCTGGGCTGAAAAAAACTTTCTTATAAAAAGGTAAACGTGTAACCCTGATAATATTCATAAGAGATCTGTTCAAGGTTATTAAGGTGGTAAGTTTTGGGTGGGATTGGGGGTGAGTTTCGGGTCAGGAAAGGAAACCAACAAGGAAACAGGAATGTTTCCGTATTAGAGGAGATTAAATGAAGTCTTGGACGCAAGACGAAATGGTGCTTCATAAGGTCTTCCTGATTTATATAATTAAGTGAATTTTAAGCTATCTCAATTTTAGCTAATTGCACCTATACACAGTGACGCAGAGAAGGAGGGAGCATTTGTGTTCCGTTTTGAAAAAGATTTCTGCTCTGAGGGTTTAGCCGCTGTGTTGAGCTTTTTGACTTAGTGATGACATAGTAGAGCTATTAATGGAAATGGCGACGAGACTTGATCTGATTGGGCTTCTTGTGGATTTCTTTGTGACCAACGTAATAATTTCTAAGGAAGCTTATACGAGCATGGGAGTCAGCTAACAGAATGCTTCCACTTCGACCTGTCTCAAGTCATTATATTTTGATTGTTGCGAATCCGGAATTGTGGGGCTGTGTTTTTATCGGCGTGCATCCTTTAGTTGACAAGGTACATCCTCTTTTAGATGGCACATAGATAGATATAAGCCATTTTTATTAAGGATTCTCATGTCATAGCCCTTCAGGATTTTGCAATGACATTCAGCCCTCCAAAGAGGAAACCATAGTCCGAGAGGTGACGTTTCAAGCTACTTGGATAATGATGACGGATAGGATAGGATAAGAGTCTTTAAGAGCATGGAAGTGGCACTTTTGAGTACCTTGCGGAAATTGAGTGAAGTGCCAAAACGAATACGCTAAATCTGAAGTAGTGTTATTGCGGGTTTTACTTCATTCAAAAAAAACGGAAACACTTTCTATGCTGGATGAGCACAGTTAGATGGTACTTTAAAATGTGGTATTTGACAAAGATACCCAAAACTCCACAATAATATTTTGGTAAAATCCAAGGGAAGGGTTAGGGTTTTTAAACCATAACGGAATAAGCTGATAAAGAAAATTTGAACTCGGTTGGCAGAGATTTCCCCCTTTATTTTTAACTTTGGTTGATTTTTGACGCATAGATTTTAGATTTTTACATTGATAAGATTTTATTTCGAAGATGTATTTTACAATCTCCTTACGTTATAGCGACAGTTGCTCGCAAAACGAAGGTGTCTGCAAACCTTGGAAGAGCGTTTTCTTCCTGAAAGGGGACTTGATTTTGGGCATTCCTCCTTCACCAGTGCTTGGCAAGTTTGTTACATTTTTAAAAGGACCCTTTTTGTAAGGACAAAGCTGCTCTTTCATTTCTTTTCATTTGTCTCCTATTCAACCCTGTAATGTTTAATAAACGATCAATTGCGAAGGTATTTGTTTTCTTCTTGTTAGCAATGACCGAGGTTCTGTCAAGATGGTGAGTGCCCAGATATTTCATATGCCCTCCCCCCTTCCACTTCCTATATGTATCCAAACCCAGAATTAATATGTTTACATAGAACAGGATCTTTTTACTTTACTACTTTACCCCTATATATTCTACCTCTCAATTTTCTAGAAATTACCGCAGAGATTCTAGTTAGAACATCAGACCGAAACGCTTCTTGGTTAAAAAGTAAGCATAGAGTTATGAATCTTAATAAGTAAATGATTGCACTTTTTATAATTCTTTTGAATGAATTGGTAAACTCTGCTTTTTAATAGCAGAGAAAATGCGCATGTTCTTTAGTAACAAGGACGGAGGTGGCTAATTCTTAGAAGACAAGAACGGGGGTCGCTCGTTCACTGAAGATTTACAATTTTCGTTTCCACAACAAGGAATAGATGAAGAATTTGAACAACGTTTATAAGAAATATAGATTCGTCAATTTAAATATATATTGATAACTTAATTACGTTATTAAAGAAAGATCTTTTTTCTCAATTCAAAGAACTCGAGAACATATTATAATGTTGTGGTTTCAATGTTAATACTAAAATTCCAAATATTTACCATTAACGACGTCAGCGTTGGCTACATGGCTTTCATCTTCAGCTGTTCGCAATATAAGAAAAATTGTTTTGATATTTCAATAAACGGTTGAACTTACTCAAAAAAAGTTCACTGTTTTAGCTATACTGGTTAATCGGGTTGTTGAATTCTAGATAGTCCAGAAACCAAAATGTTTGCAGATCACACTGAGTTTGAAAATGTGCACATGTTGTCTTTAACCCTCTCTGTCATGACTGTGTTTGTTTGTACATGTTTGTGTTACCTTAATACGTTATTTTTGATATTATAATTTCTTTATGTTGGTAAAAAATGTCGGGCCCCCCAATGTCAAAATCCTAACTACCCCCATGGTTCACGCTAAATGCGATAATCAGAGTTACATGTCTATATGATAAAGAGTAAAGATAACGGTAACAGACAGGTTAACGGTTATTTTCATTATCCATTCGCTGTATTTGTTTTCACCAGTTGAAACTGTTATTTCTAGCTCTTAAGCTGAACACAGTTTGTGACAAAAGGTTAGCCACAGTTGATTTTGGGCATTGGGACAATACAGCGTCCTTGAATGCAATTCATATTGATGTTATCTTTCTTAACATTTTTACTGATAACATCTTATATGTTTTCGCAACACCTTCAGGCTTATCAGATGAAGGTCACACAAAAGGCAGTGAAATAGAAATTGATACATTCTATTGGTAATTTTCCTGTGACCAAAGTCAATGGGAATTGTTACGCCTGAAATTCAATGATACAAGTTTCGTCAAAGGCAGATTATGAAAATAAAAGGAAATATAATTAATATTGTAACATGATTTTAAATTGCGTTTATTGTAAATAAAATTACTAAACGTCACTTGAATTCATTCATTCGTTTTGTGAAAAAGACTACGGACAGAAATGTACAGCCAACTTTAAAAGATGTACTAGTTTCGGTCACGTAAAACCAGCAACGTGACGTCATAAAATTATAAACAGCAGCTGGGTGCGAAATGAAAATAATGTGCCACCTTTAACAAGAAATACCTTCGAAGCGAAATGTTCACCCTAAAAACAAGCGATTCAAATTCTAAATTCTATACAGAGGATAGTCTTTGAAAGCCTCAATTTTTCTGACACGAGAAAGAAAAGGTACTGGGAAGGTTCTTCTTATAACTTTCCAGAATAATTGATTCAGTGAGGATGCCAACAAAAATCACAAGAATTACATTTCCAAAACGATGTCTCGATGTTTTGAGGACTCGTGAAATGGTTGAAATGAGCCAATACTGCTTATACATCGAATGCAAGGAAGATGGCAGGAATTTTATATTTCTCCTTTGCTGAATATTTGCTTTTAGATGACAAATGAATGGGAAATCCACTGGGGAGACAGCTCATGGAAGGTATAACAGGGAAGAATCCTCATCCAGTTGACTCCAAAGAGAACAGCAGTTGTTTGAAACTTAGTAGCACCAAGCGATGTCTTGCTCACATTTTCTGTCAAACCAACGATCAAGAAGTTCGTTTTTCACTCCAGAAGGCTTAAGATCTTGTTTCATCATGGCTTCTTTCTCAATCTTAAATCAAAACAAGGAAAATGGAAGCGGAAAACTATCTCAAGTCCATACAAACAATGACTGATTAAATAAGTTATCTCTAAGTAGCGATTACTTCATTTAGCGCGCTTTAAAACAATTTTTCATAATAGGGGACTAAGCCTGACCTAGAGATCCATGACGTCATCGTCTGCAAAGATGACGAGGAAGAGGCAATTTTCATTCAAGTGATTATAGGGCTTTAGTAGGATATGAAACTCGAATTTAGAATGGCTGGCATGATCTCTTCATCTTGGCTTTTGACAAAATGAGTCGCTAAGAATTAGCATTATTTTTTTCTTTCATGGCAACGTAAAGTCTGTTAGGGAATTAAATAGTTTAAGATTTCTATGCAAAGAAGTAAAAAAACCATAAATATGATTTGACAAATATCAGATTATAAAGATAATCTAACTTAAAGGTTCACCTCAAGAAAAACACAAGACTGATGTCGATGCCAAATTATTCATGTAAACAATACCAATTAAACCAAAAGGGTGTTGAGCTACCAGAAGAGGACATTTCAATTGTTAGACAAAACCATAAGCAGGAAAAAGTATTTCAGAAGCACTCGTTTCATACACAGATATTTATTTACCCAGGCCTTGGCATAATAAATATCTTAGTGCGTAGGTCACTCTAAGACTGCATCAAGGACGGAGAAATTTGTTTTGACAAATAGAAGCTTTTTCAATACTCTACAATACTCTAGAATATCTTTGGCATTGTAAATACAAGAGCTTCTTATGGCTTATAAATTTTGTCAAATATTAGGGTCAAAAGCTTTGGGAATTAATACCTCACTCGTTGTATTTGGTTTCCAATCACTGGCAGGTTTTGAAACTTGGTTAAGGACTCAGAAACTTGAATTTGACTGTCGGTGATATAAAACATCTATTTCTAGATTGTGTTTTATTTCAGATATAATCTCTTCTTCAAACCTTTTCCTAAATTGTAAATACTTTCCATATTTCTGAAAGTTCGCACCAATAAGCTTTCACAAAGCTATGAGAGTTGCACATGTGGCTTTAAAATTTTGCATTAACGTTTTCTGCATCACTGCCAATCATACTTTTTCACAGACATAGATTGTATATGAGACACTATATAAAACTATGAAAGATATGTAAAGCAAACCTTTGGCACAGGCAGTACTCGGCGATAATTCCCTCTGCTATTATGTTCCAGGAAGGCTCGTTTAAAATGGACTTTCATGTCATCTGACAAGCATTGTACGCACAGGCTACACTAAAACAAATTAATCAGAAACATTCAGAACTGTTTACTCAAATTCTTGACAAAACTGCCTAAAATACTTTACTTCCTTCTAAATAACTTCATATAGTTCTCAAAAGTCTTCTTCTTACTTGCTCCGCATTAAAACTACGACCAATTCTTTTCTATTTTGCAAAAACAAGCCTTTATCCTAGTGCTGAGCCCACAATGGCCACCAACGTAAAAATTAAAGTTTTCTGAACTGACGAAATTTTCATCTGACGGAACTTCAAATATCAATAAGTTCTATTCAAAATGGATCAACTCGTAAATAAACAGGGTCGGGTTGGAATGCAAGAGTACCTATAATGATAAAGGTGCAACAGCGTAGCGTATGTTCTTAACAAGCAAACGATTGATAGAAGAACACCAAAGATGGGAGAAATTTATATCTTCTCGTCGTCCCTCTCTTTTTCAAAGCTTCTATAAAAATGTGCATGCTTAATCCAAAGCTTCTCACTGTGGAATTCATCTTCTCGTGTGCTTTTCTCTGAGCTCGATTCTATTTCTTATTGATGCTTAAACATTAAGGTTACAGGCACCTTGTTTTATTCTTTGCTGAAATTTTTTAAACATAGTGCACACAAAAATTAATGTTAGAACATTTTCTTTGGCAATGCAGGCCAAATGCAATTGCTTTTGGTACAACAAAGACTTGCAGAGAGTTGTCTTTGCAAAGACTGGTCTTTCAAAGAATATCGTCTGCATCAGAGTTGGATCTGAGTTGAATTATATTATGAAAACGAGTTGTGCAAAGTGAATTTAATGAACAATTCGTCGTCTAATATTTACTTTATCTCTTGAGGAAATGGTCTGGAAGAATAAAGACCTGATAAAGACGAGACCTTTCTCAAGTGCATAGAAAGACAGCGATTGCTCTTCAAATTGCAATTTCCAGAGTTTCCGCTGCAAATCCCACAAACAGTACGGAAACATTTAAAAAAATTCAAAGAATTTTCCGCTAAGTAAGCAGTTGGAAGAACATCTGTTTTCCTTATTTTATACTCAGGAAATGAAATTCTGATAACAGGAAAAACTTTATCTAACAGTCCGACAGTGAGAGACATGAAAAGAAAGGTTACCTCCGCTGCTAGTATTGTGTTGCAGCGCCTGGGAGATTTTTGAACACTAAAGAAATGTATACAACTTAGGCATTTTGCAAAGACAAAACACACAGATCCCATACTCCTGATTTTGTCCATAACGTATCGAATATGTAGTAAGGTACAACAGCAAACAGACCAGCAACCTTTTACGTGCACATAGTGATGGGTACTTTTTTGGAAGGTTAAAGAACTAGAAAAATTCAAAATTATCAATTAAAAAGTCAACCACACCAGAAAAACAAGTTTTTGGGACATTTAAAAACACTTTTGAGTTCTTTAATGCTGCTGAAAGTTTGAAATTACAAAGTTTTTGAGGAATTTACCATACCAGCCCCCCTGCTCCGCGATGCCTGCGGTACTTTTTTGGAAGGTTAAAGAAGCTTTACAAAAGATACATAAAAAACAACGATTCAAATAGGTTAACACCCTGAAGCTTAACCTTGCGATATGCATTAAGGCCTATAGCATTTATATGTATGTCCAGAGTTGCACTGTCAGGCTACGATGTATCCCTGTTCTCCAACAGAATACTAACCCAGCGGGCGGGAAGCGTAGGGAGAGGGGGCAGTGTCCCAATACTATACGAATTTTTTGCTACAGATCTTGCAGATTTCACTTCGCAAAGAAATTAATTGTGTCCCTCAACCAAAAAGTCTACGCTAATGCCCCTATCAATAGTGCAAGCAGAGCCCCTTTCAAATCGCCATCAAATACCAATGCTCTTGGTATTGATGTATTGATACCCATCAGAAAACATTCTACGTTGCTTTGCAGTAAGTTGCAGAGACAGCGGACGAAAAATGAAATTAAGTAACAATAAACAAAGTAAGATATTGTTTTTTCTGTTAGTCAAGACCACGACAAAACGTGTCGCCAAGGCTACGCTTCTTACATTTTTTCAATATCAACTTTAGTTCAAAATTGGCTTTAAAGAATACATCACAGCTTCCCTATATTAGTTAGTTTTTCTTCTATCATCCGGTCTGGATTGTACCTTGAAGACTTAAGCTGTAGTCGGACGCGAACTGAGAAACACAAATGTGTTGTTGTCGCCCACTAACTGTTGCATCAAAACATTGTTTTCCGGTGACTATCTAAGGTATATTTAAAGTCTTTTTTAAAACACTTAGGTTTTCTCAATGAAATTCTTTGAATACTCGACCTCGCATATCCTCTTAGTTTGTGATTTAAAACAAGCTTACTGTGAGAAATGCTTGAAATGCGCACGGACTTTGAGAAAATCGCTTGGATTTTCAAACATTCGTGTGTGATACAATGAATGTTCTAGTAGAAGGCCGACTTCAGGCCTCTTCAGATATAGCGTGATGAATTTTCATGGACGACAAAAACAGCGCGAAAATAAGCCTTGAATGTGCATTCAATTCAAGGCTCAGCAAACCACGTCAAAAGATCAGGTCATCGTAGTTGGTATTTATAGCAGGGTACAATGCTTCTAGCATTGATTAAATCGATAGTTGATATCGATAGTTGAATAAAGATGATGACGTCAAATACGGCCAGATACCTTACCGGGAGATTAGCTGAAGGAAGCATTACTTCAAGCAGCTCCGGGTTTTTTTGAATACAAGACAGTATGAGGCTTACGATTAATTGCCTAGATAGCTGAAGCCCATACTGAACTACTCCACGTCAGCAGGAGTATAATTAACCAGGGATTCACAGTCAGTCAATTTGACTTTCTTTAAAATACGGAATGTCGAATATTGCAACGCATTTAATAAAACCTCTGTAATAAAAAACTCCCTGAAGTATTTCATATTAGAGTTTCTTGGAGACGAGTTGCTTATTTACAAGTTACTTTAATAGGTGGTTTTATTTCATTATCCAAACACCCCAATATTCAATTTTTTAAAGACAGCCATTCAATTTCCCCCAATTAATTTTAAATGCTAATTAAATCGAATATTGCCTGGAAGATAATCAGGTGCCAGGCTCAATATCAAAAAGCGCAGACGGATACCATTTCTTCCACCATTGACTAATTACATATTCAAATGTAACGACAAAGAAATATATTTTTTCAAAAAGTCTGATTGTTACGGAGATTGGAGCCAAGAACTTGCCAAAATTGTTGTGTTTAGAAACCGAAAGGCACTTAGCCATAGACGTGTCTCCCCATTTTTCAGAAACAGTGGTAAATTACTTACTTGCAGCTTACAGAGTTGTTCCTATCTTGACTACATGTGCCCCCAACCCCCCCCCACTTTTGAAAAGCTTCCTTCGTCTATGTACTCTGCTGCACAAATCTGAGCAAGTTTAACGAGTATATCACAATGAAATGACGGGGCAACCGTAGTTAAAGAAATTAACTTGAAGTAAAATGAAAATAAAAGGGAATAGGAAAAACCCCGTTCAAAGAAATTCACACGGGAAAATTCACATCTAAAAAATCAATATCCGCCAACGGAGTGCAGTACGGCACACCTCTTGACGTGTTTTTGAATCACAAAAACAAATATGTACAAACGAAAATTCAAAAGCGTTTTTCTAACATAAAATGCAGTCGGCAGTGTGTTTGATTGTGCGAGTGTACAGCCGCTGACGCCTAGGCCGCTTTTCGCTGTTTGTCCGTGAGTATTCCTTGGAAAAGTTGCTAGTCAAAACAGATCTTACATACTTGACTATTCATTTGCACGGTACAAAACGGTGAAACGCTATTAGCAAAATCGGATAACTTGCGAATTTCGATGACGTAATGACCTCTTTTTGATTATTAAAACCGCGGCCTCTGATAAGGGTGCCTTGTTAGATGCTGAATACTATATATGGGATGCTGGCTTATCTGTATTTGCTAAGGAGTATGCTACATATGAATATGTTTGGAAAATAGGCTTAGAGAAATAAGAGTTATATTTGCATGTGAGATGTAAGGAAATTGCCTTTTATAACCCTTTAAGGTGATGAATTTACGCAATGGTACACACTCTGAAAGAGTTATTCTATTGAACAAGTTATTTGATTACGTCAAAAAGGTTTTTAATATTCAGCTTGAAACTGAATGAACACTGACATAATAGAGCTTTGTACAATTTAAAGCTTCATACACCCCCCGAAATAAAAAGCACCTTGTTACAGTCTGAAAAGCACCTAGAAGACATAACAGGTTAACGTAAACGTAAGAGAGGACCTTCGCTAAAAGAATGGTTACCACGTGAATCAATAAATATAATGTACACAATCCGATTTTTAATTCGTAGAAGCTTTGGAAGTTACATAAAATAGGCAAAATAAATGTAAAAAATGATGGCTTGCCAGATGCAAAATGTTTTAGGTTAGTAAATATTGTGAAATGAACAATGAAAGGAAAATAAAGAAATTTGAAAAGGGGGTAAGAAGGTCGTCTTTGACGTGATGTTTGACCTGAAAATTTTAGGGAAGCCAAAATGGTTAATGACTTGCCCTGAATAAAATATAGATAAATTATATTGGTTTCTGGAACATTTTTCAATGTATTTATATTTGTTGCTACCAAGCATTCGAAGGTAGCCTTAAAAAAATGAGAAATTATGCTTAGCTAGCAATATCCTGGCCTTTCGTCTCGATATGACCACACCTCGTGATTCCTATGCCTAGAACTTCAGAGAGTTGTGGACTCTCTTAACTCTAATTGAAAGTTTGGTCATGGCAAGGACTAGGACCCCGGACCATTGGATATGTTGCTCACGACCCTAACTACTTTGCCATCCAAGCAGTTTCATGTGGCAGTTAGAAAAAAGAACCCCTTTGCATTCTTCAGAAACTTCAAACTTCACCAAATCAGTTAAACGAAAATTAATATGTACGAAGGAGACATACTTAGAGTGGATTTGAGACAAAAAGGAAGCTTTTCAATTTTTTATTAAAATGTCTGTAATGCCAACAAACCTTTAGACCACCGCGGAAAAAATGAAATAGACAGGAATTAAGCAAAAAGAGGGAACAAAGAAACATGGAAAATTTAAAGCGGTACTTTATAAACAATAGGGGCCAAGGAGCAACCGGAATGAAATATGATAACAGAGGCGTACTGAAAAAAATGGAATTAGAAACCGTTTTTGACGAACGAGTTGGAAAATAATTGATTTTGACACGTTATTTTACCAAAACTGATTTGTTCTTAACCTTTAAATCTTACTGGTTTTGCAGAGTGACATGGATCAATACTATGAAAAACTTCAAGAAAAGCTTGACGAGTTTTACCGATGATAATAATTATAATAGCGCTTTGGTGGCTTTTTTGGCGATTAGTTTACCTATTTAGATAGCTACTCTATAATCATGTATTCTATTGTTTTGCTATATCCTCTGGCTTTGTAACCCTGGAAAACTGGACTCCAACCCTGCTGAATACATTGATGACATTAGCTATTGACAAAATCAAACGATATTGTAAGGTATATAGCATTAATTCTAAAAGAAAACAAATGTACCCCTTTCCCAACCTCAAACGCCTATAATATTGCAGGACTAGCTGCTTTCTGAACCCAGGTTTGGGTGTAAAGGTGTTATCTAAAAAGTGTATTGATAGCTTTGATCTCTAACGATTAGGTTTGGGGTTTTGGAAGTCTACAAACTTGATTCTCTCTAATAGCTGGTTTTGAGACAAAAGGTCACATAGCGCTGTTAGAAGAATGCATTGCGAAGGCGCAATGATTCAGCCAGGGGAGGTGCAACACGTTGCTCTGTTGCTTCCTTCAAACGATAACAGCTACGCAGAACATTGCAAAATTTGTGGTCCACAGTAACAATGTCAGACAATTATTGGTAGAAATGCTAGTTAGCGGTGTAAATTTTTCGTTTTTCGTTACCACTATTAAATTACTCTGTATGCCAAAAAAATAATCTTGTATTCTGGATAAAAATCTGTGTTACGCGACTGGCTTTATAGGAGTTGCCTGCCCACATTACAGATAATTTCGAGACACAAAACAATTTAGAGAACTTTTCATTACCATACGAGTAATGACGTCATTTGACAAAAAGAAGTTGAAACATCGTGTTAACCTCATGTCTAGTTAGTCACAACCAGACATATTGAGAAGTTTTTTCAGCATATCTAATAAAGCTGAAGGATTGTTTAATTTGCGAAAGAATTCAAATGAAGATGGAATCACCTCTAAGCATCCCGCTAACAAATGAGCACAGGCTGATCGTTTTTTTGGAAAACATATCTAAATTCTTTAAATTTGTGGTATTAGTAGAACAGGGACAAGTGACAGAAAGCTAGATTTAAGACAGAAATATATTTTTTACAATAGACAAAGATTAAGAATATTTTCCAAAAAAAGTTTTATAATCCAGCTCATTTTAGACTGTGTAGCATATGGTCTTGGTTGCCATAGCTTCGTTGTCATTAAAATACACGAATCTTATATTTAGAGGTTCTTATATTCAACGTCCGAGAGGTAAATTTAGATATCTCATGGAAGGCTGCATGGAATCTTGCGAATAAATTTTCTATAAGAAGTATGATAAAGTATGAAAAGAGGCTTTGAAGAACTGACGACGTAAAGCACCAAACAACATGAGTCAGAAGGAGGCAGAAATCGACAATGTCGTTAAAACAGAACTTTAAATTCAACTTTATTTGAAGGAGGTGCAGCGCAGAGCTGTGGATGCAGACAACAGAAGGTGCAATAATGGGACTTGGAGAACAGATGCAAAAACCACTGTTGGTACACAGTTAAAACTATCTGTTGCCATAAATATACATAATGTTAGTAATCCTTACTTTCTATTTTAAAATCCTATGATAAGTTGTGAGTAATAACACTTCAAACTAAACCTTCGGCACAACTGGGAGCATGGAACAAACAGATTAATGCATTTTAGAACTTGCAAAGCAACTAACGACGATATGGGTGATTCATAAAGGAAAATAGTGAACACAAATCTTTGTTCTGATCTGTGCGCATGGGTAAACATATTCAGTTTTGAAGATGCTATGGAAATGCATTGTTTTTGGTTCTCTCAAGCCTGACCTAAAATAATACCTTGTAAAAGATTTCAAATACTGAAGGTACAATGTAACTAAGATATAACAAGGCAGACTTTGCCTCCTTTGGTCAAAACAGCCATGTACACTTATAAGTTTGTCGGTCCTCACAGTTACTTTACATACTCCGCTGTTAAAGTAGAAACTTGGCGTATCAATTTTTTAAAGGATACATTGCTTGAAAAAGAGTATCTGCCTGGCGATGGTGAAAGAGAAAACAACGGGCTTTTGTTAAAATCATGATGATAATGAATGGGCTAAAAGCAAGTGGATTAATAAATTGCAATGAACTTTATTCACCGGTTGGATGGTTTTAAAAAAAATTGGAGGAATTTTTCAATATATGATTGATGAATGATTTAATGGTTAATGAATGAATTATGATCAGCACGAAGTAAGCTTAAACTTTTGAGCAATAACAAATCATAATAAAGATAAGGAAACAGATTCATTCAAGGCCCAACGAGAAAAGAAATAAAGAGTATCTTGATGAAATTTTTTAACGAGGTTTCTTAACTTCTACAAAGACCTTGGCTTCGAATTTCTAGTTCAGACAAAATGCTAGATTTTCAGTAATTTGAAAGCTATAAAAGGAAGGAAATGACCGAAAAACAATAATTGAATCCTTTAGTTAAAAAACAACTGAAGTGTACATGAAGGCTCTAATTCATAGATTACCACCAACCACAAATAATTATGTGTTTGAATTTTTATGAGTCGCAGTTCTTCTTTATTAATTGATGTCTGGGAGAGAATAAGTAGATTTTATGAAAGTTTTAACTTCTTACGCATCTCATTTACATATTTTTCCATGTTATTCTCGAAACTACTTTGAAAAAATGCAACAAAAAATCTACAATACAAGAAAAATAATAAATAAATATTTTTGGATGTTAGAGAAAAGGCAGACAAATGACAGACGGTTCGTGTTGATCAACGAGACAAATACTTGTTCAACGAGCCTTCAAAAGCACTTTATACGAATTTCATACTTTCTTTAGTTTTCACCCAAAGAATTTTCAGGAAATGCAATCTAGAACCACTTAAGACATAAATGTGATAAATAACTCGAGGATTACCTCAACACCACAAGATGAAAGGCACTCTAACTTTCTGCATCGCTCGCTGTCAACCATAAGATCTCTGTCATTCACAAACATCTGTTCACTTTCCTCGCTGCAAAAAAGGAAAAGAGACAACTATTGCCAAAGTAAAATAAAAATGTTTGGAAAGGATTTGATACGAACATTAAAAGCCTATAAAATGCCTTTTTAAATTTTTAAATGTTCAAACAGCGGTTGCCTGAGGATTAATGTCAAAGTGACGGTAACATGTAAAAACGAAACAACTTTTGCCAAAGACATCAAAGCTACCAAGGAGCAAGGAAGGGAAAGGCTTCAGGGAAAAGGCATCTAAAATATTATTCACTGCAAATACTTTTTATTGGTGGGTTTATTTCTATCTGTTGTAGGCAATTTGAAATTCACCAACTTCTGGTACATGGATATTTTCTACACGTATTAGAGATCTCTTTACTTGTCAAAGCCTGAAAGACTATATGACATCTTCTTGGGAAAAAGCATTCGTCAAGCATACCTTTCAGCCTTAGCTGTTAGCAATCCAGCACCAGCCAACTGCAATGCATAGTAAACAACCTGAAAATTGATATCAATAAACTATGAAAATAAGCAGACATACTGGAGGACAAACGCGACCAATAAAAAATTATTTAACTAGTTTCCCGTGATACTTATACAGAAAATGAAAAATACTAGTGGCTTTATTCAAAACAATAGTACGGTTTCTCAGATAAAATATGCTGTAAGAAATATGTCTAAGAATGCAGCTTGTTCTTCTTAGGCAGCTCTTGGGCAAAGCAACGACTCTTTTACACCGATTAATTTGATTCTTTCCAGTTGGTATTGCCAACAATGTCAAGGGTCAGGAGTATCTGCTAACTATCTGTTACCCATAGAAACAGCACATTAATAGCAAAAAGGGGCACCTGGGGGCACTGTCCTTTTGACTAAAACAACGAGAACTTATGTAACGATGTAATATTACTGAAACTGTTTCTAAAATAAGTAGCTTTTGCTAAGAAAACAACTTTCTCTGCGGAGTTTGTGATTACAGGCCAATATAAGGATTTATTGGGTACATTTGTCAAGTACAAAGAAAGAAACATTGTCACCAGAAAGCTCTGTTTTAGTTCCTTTATTGAGCAGATGACAACCTTTTTTCACTGATATCGAAAAAGATAAAAAATCTTAGTACCTGCTCATACATGAGGGCATTTTCAGTGTGTCCCGCCGATGACAAGTTTGGTGACATATTGACCTATGAATGAAGATATCTGGAAAAATACTGTTTTCTAATTCATTAAAAAGTCAAAAGAATCATTCTAGCCAACTCAGTCCTTGCAGAAAGGTTAGTCTGTTTTTCTTGAAAGATCTTGAGAGCTAATTAACGTTATTACAATTAACAATGAAGCTGAGGATAAACACTGAAAAGCTTAGGACTTGAAATCTCGTAAAGAGCTGGAGAAAACGATAAAAACTTCGAATCTTTTGTATTACAGAATTATCTTATGTATCACGCCTATTTTTATCAGAATAATGCTGCTGTATAGGTTGCTGTCAGCAAAACCAATAAAGTACTTTGCTACATTTATCCTATTCTGCAAATATAATTTTTAAGCTTACAAACCTCCATCAGCCATAAGTTCATATTGCTATCTATAACAAAGTCAAACCGCACCAGCTCAAAGAAGTTGCTGCAAAAGGATAGTTGAAAAGATTACGATTTTACTGCTAAATCAGGAAAATATAGCAAAACTGCAGAAAATATGCATGTTAAGATTATGTGGCGAATTGTCAACGAATAATACTGAATAATTACGTAAAAATGGCGAATTGTCAACAGCTTTGTCTTTTGCACAAATATAATATGATTGCACGAGAAAACAATGAAACAACTTACCCTTGGAAAAAAAGTACGAGATTTCAACCAAAACAAAAGGATTTCTAAGGATTTTCAGATAAAGCAATAGGATTTTCACTAAAGAGTGTAGGAGATTTCAATGGAGTGAAACACTGTTCAGTACAGGAATAAAAACTGCCCAGTTGTATAAAGGGAGAGCATTATACTCTCCAATCCCAGCACCAACTTCTTAGGTTATAGAAGGCTGATTGGTTGAAAAGGCATCCTGCTTTTTTATTGGTTTATTACGATCCATATTTGACATGCACGGCTCTTAGTAAATTTTCGTTTCAAGCACTGATAGCTCGATCTTTGCGGTGGCATAAACATCTTTGTTCACAGAGATGGTTCCAGTGAGAATCATTATCAGAATATTTCAGTAAAGCATTAATGTACATTTTCTAATTCAGATATTAAAAACGTTGGCTGAATCAATCTACAGATCATGGGCTTATAATTATCGTTTTATATAAAATGACATGATCTTATTTGACTTGGCGTTTGTCCTGTCTTTCAATCAATGTTGTCAAAAAAATCTTTGAAAAACAACACGGCACTGACAGCATGAGAAGTATTTTATCCTCAAATACAAAGAATGATTGACACGTTAACTGTACTTATAACTGACTGATACGATACGGTCGACGGCTTTAACTGGTCGATACTTTTGACTTACTGATTGGAATCTGGAATCTCAAATACCTGAGACGTTAAAAATGTTATCGATTGACAATGAATAAAAGAGTAATGAAATAATTCCATCTCAAAATACGTTTGTATTAAGGTTTTTCTCATACTTCCTTTTCTTTGACAGGGTCCGTATGAAATATGTAAATTGATTTCTCTCGTCATTTCGCTAAGATTTTGCCGATACGTTTGATTGAATTCCTCCTTCACAATTTCCTTCTATCCAAGCGGATAATTTTCATGAAGAAATGTGAGTACAAGAATCCAAATTTTGTATAATCAAGGACGCCAACAGGTACGGGGCAGACATTACGTTGAAAGGATTACACACTGGAAAGGAGTTGCAAAAACCATTTTTTACAAGAGGTTGGCAGATTGTGTCCCCAAGCTTTTTTACCATTTCGACAATCTTAACGGCATAGACAGGAGCAATTACTTGCAATAAGTGCTGATTCTAGGAGAGGCAGGGTGGAAGCTCTAAAGACCCTTGGGAGCCGAAATTTTTTGTGGTGACCACGCCCTTTAGATACGATTACTATTTTTTAAGTCTGCTTTAGTTACATTCTATTAATCCATTCCCAAAATTAAATTCAAAACTTTATTAGCAATGTCTATTCCTTCCACCAAAAACTCGCAATGCAGGCCGAATTTCAAATTCATTTAAAGCCTTGCAAGATTTTATCAAACTTTCAATTATATTCAAAGAAACGATAGCTCTAATTGCATTAAAATAGTTCTGGGTATCTGGGTAAAATTCTATAACATTTGAAGTGTCTTATAGTCTTTGTTATTTTTCTCCCCCCTCCCCCCTCCAAAAGAGAAGAAGCATGTCGGCACTTGTGTATCTTTCTTTTTTTATATTATTGAAATATCATTAATGAATTCAAATGATTTAGAACAGCTGCAGCCTTCCTGATATTTCATGTACATGGTTTATGATAAAACAGACCCAGACATGTGTGACAGAATGTAGAAAAAATGTTCCTCACGGCAAAGTCAAACTTGGCTCTGTAAAATCCATTAATAGCCATACTTAAATTGCCACAATTATCTATTTGCACTATCTTAATTATGACACTGACCTGTATATTGTGCACTATTACAAAAATGTACGAAAACAACAGAGCAGTGGCCGCCCAAGGCCTTAAGCCTGTCTCCACGCTTTTGTCTCAATAGCTTTCCAGCTTCCAATACAAATAAAACATGCAAACATCTTAATTGTTCATATTACTTCGAGGAAAGTCACTTTATTATAAGTTTGCTAAATTTAACAAATCTAAATTTTAATGGTTTAACAACTTACTTCGTTGATTTATAATGGGCCATCATTTCACTCATCTGTTTTTCCTTTGCAATGAACGTCTGGAAGCAGTTATAAAAATTGAATACATGGTTAGAACAAATTGAATTATGATCGAGCCAAAAAACTAATGAGAACTTAAGAGATGCGTCTCGAAGGCAGTCTGGTGGGTTGTATAGATAGTAAAGTATTAAGAGGCATAATAAACCTCCATTTTGATCTTCTGTTTAATGCTGTGTATTGAAAGGAAAGAGACATAACAGCAGAAACATTAGCAGTCATGTCTTCAAACGTATTGTAAACAGAATCTTTGCAATTTTTCAGTTATATTTCTATTTTTTTCTCTAAACAAGGCCAGCAAAGACGAATGTCCGAGCTTTGGTGTTTGAAAATTTGCTCCAGTTGAATTGTGATGAGCTGATCTTCACCCCTACTGCAAAATTCTGTAAAAACCCAGCTAGAATTTCAAAGATCTGTCAAGCAGCAGGCCAGTGGTGTAGCTTGACCTTCCAGATTGGGGGGAGGGGGGTTGCAGGGTCGTCAATAGTACAATTTACTGAAGAAGAAAAAAATTAGGTGTTATTTTACCTACCTATAGACGACTTTACAGACAAACTAACGATTTACCGTACACGCTTAAGAACAGCTTATAGCAAATAAGGCCTGCCCCCCCATACCCTCTGCTAGCTGGAGGCCCTGCAGGAGGTTCTGATAATTGGTGGCAATGTATTACAGAGTTCTTAAACTACCTTCCCCTCTCTTTCTAGCCTATTCTCTCCCTTTCCTGTCGATTCCCATTTTATTTGGACATTTGTACAGAAGCTGCTTTTCTGGTGGCTTTGCTTCTTAGGGAACTAGATGGTGTTATCAGAATCATTTCTATGTAGAAAAAACAGGTCTGAAAAGTGCAGAATACGTCGGATTCTGCAGCACTTAAGTGTGTTTGGCCAGGTAGATAAGCAACTGCAGATTCAATTGCAAATTATCTACTACTGTACCAGACTTGTAACATGATGGATTATGGTAACATGAGTAAACCATGCTTATCACTTTAATTGCTGGCTCGATTAAAGCCTCAGCGGTACTTTATAATGTTAAATTCTCTTATGACCACTATCCTACTGAATCTATATTTAATGTGCAATGATAACTGCAGCTATATTGAGTTATCATAATGTTTTTATAATGGTGACAATAAAATTGTATATGATGATCATATCGTAACGCCACATCTACGTCAAAAGGATGATGAGTGAAATTTTGGTCCAGACAAATCGAGGCTTAGGACCAAACATATTTCTATTTCTATAGCAAGAAGTAATCAACTACCCTGAGCACCATATCAACAGCTATGACCAATATCTTATCTTTGGTCCAAAGTCTAGATTAATCGTTTAATCCTCTTCACAAGAGAATTTAATTTTGTACTTTATGATCGTTAGAAATCGATACTATTTTACTTAAGACACTGGGCTTGAGTTGCCAAAGGAAACCTTTTGGACTTCAGCTTCTCTAACCAGGGGTATATGACAGAGAATAATTCCTCTAAGAACCAGAACTAATCAGCTGAGACTCTAAGATGCCATTAAAAGTACCTTACAAAACCAAAAACAGTTATCTTGTTTCCTATATCGATCTAACAATCTACAACAAGAGCATTAAGGGGGTGATGCTACAACGAAATGAAATGAGATAACAAGACAAAACAAAACCAAAGGCCTAAACAGTGATGCAAATTTACACGTAAAACATAAAATAACAGAAAAAGTTAGAATTAAGAGAGATAATCTTTGATGATAAGATTTATAATCTTCAATTCTGAGCTAAACCGACTTTACCTGGCAAATGCATCCAAAGTTCGTGAGGTGGCTTGTTTCGTTAAAAGAAGGTTTCGTTGTTTCGTTAATTCTTATGCATAATTCTAAACATTTGCACTAAAGCATACGAGATGATGTCATCGTCACTGGAAGGTTGGTAGCATACATAACAAAATCCCACGTGCAGACTGCTCTGCCCACTGTTTGTAGGAGGGCCTGTAACTAAGGCAAGATGAAAAGACGAAGGGAAGGAAAAGAAAGATGGGAAACTAGAAGGGGGAAGAGCCTTCTTAACTAGTGATTTAAAAAAGAAAAAGGTTAATTCAGACATTTAGCTCCGCATTCTACCAAATCTTTTGAAGAAGAAAGAGAGCAAAACTAATCTAAGAACGTTAGGCCCAACGTTGTGATTTTTTAAAAGAAATTTCAAAGTTGTCATCACCATTGCATTTATAAGACTAAGTGAAAGTCTTGAACAATCACTTGATTGATTTATCTTTCCTTCTTGTTGATACAAAAGTTTCATTTTACAAAGAAATAGTCCCAAAAATGATTCATTGTCACCTCGATAAAACAGATATCTGCTCGTTATGAAAAAGAAAGGTGTTGTTCATGATTTGAATGTGGTCATGATAATGAAGGAAAACTTATTAGTGACGGTTACCTCTCTGATTGCTTGCCTGACGTCTTTCCAAAGCTTTTTTGTGTCTTTTCCTGCAAATAATGTTCAAGCATATGATCATGAAAAGTACCATGGTAGGTGTCTAGATTTCTATCATAATAGCTAAAAAACAAAACTGTGCATGAATGAATATAATCTACAATCCCGGAAACAAATGGTTGAGACTTTTCATGGAAAACTTATATTTTCACTTTCCTTTTAAAAATTACTTCCCTCTCCCCCAATTCAATGTTGAATGCATGATTTGGAAGGAGAAATGATAGAACTACAAATCCAACATTGATTCGGGGGGAAAGGGGGGGATTCGAGTTTATAGGGGCGACATAAAGTAGAAAATTGCAGAAATTGCATTTTGTCTCTACAATTTTGTCCGGGATTGTAGATCCAGGTTTTTAACACTAGGGATCGACCACCCTACTAGGGTTCCCTTGAAAAAATACAATGGTCTTTGTCGTGTCATCGTGTCAAAGTTTTCAGTCGCCATTGTCTACAACAAGCTTTTATGAAAAGCAACCAAATTACACCCCAATCATGAACGGAGAAAATGAAATTGCTGACCACCCTTGGTCCAAAAGTAGGAAATCTGACAAAATACGGAAGCCATCCATTGAAAAAAGAATATAGTGGGGTCAAGTGAGATTAAACCAGTACTTGGAATTTAGCAAAAACGACGTTAAAATGACACTTCAAAAGAAGAGCGCAACAAAGCTTTGAACAGCATACTCATGGGTGGTTTTACTCCAGTTTTCATGAAAACATTTTTGTTAATATGAATCTTATGAGCATGTCTCGAGAGATGAAAGAAAACATTAGTCGTCACCTGATGGACATATATTGGTGGCTTGGAAGTTACATAAGACATAAAGAGCTAATTCCCCTTAAATGGAACTTACACGCAAGGCTTATGAAATTTTATTAGAGAACAAAGTACAGGGGTATAGAAAGCTGAGACCTCCTAGCTTCATAACTAATATTTCACATGGAAATTAAGCTAAAAAGCGTATTTCATTACGAAATGAAAGTACAGCTCAGCAGGAAGTTGACTTGTGGATAATCAGAGCCGATTTGCCAGAAACAGGGAATTAATTGAAGGTACTGAATGAGCTTATAACAACAATCTGAGAATCAAAATTGGAGAAAAAACTCACGTATTAACTTCTTTTTTTGTCACAATTAAATGCCCTTTCAAACAAAACTAGATTGTGCAATCCTTTGACCCTATTCAGCAAGTTACCAGAAAAGGACACAGAGCCAGATTTCAATCGAAAAGAACAGGTTAGAACAGCAGACCTCATTTCAGATATGTTAAACCAATCAATTATTAGATTCTAGGTAAATATATGTTTCTTTGGTTCGACTTGCTGAAGTAATTCCCTTCAATGCACCAGGACAACAACAACAAGTCTTCAAATACCAGTTGTCCTTGGTCTAACAACTCAAGGCTATCATTGTAAACCAACGCACACTACGACGAAAAATCCTAAGGAATCTTAAAAATTCATTTTCTTCCTACAATAATTATTTTGGTTTTTGAAGGGAGTAATTTGTGACAATCAACTTATCCATTAATAACGATTCTGAGATGGAATTTTTGGGTTACTCATGATATGAGAGTTTTTTTTGGTCACGCAGGTTAAGCCGAGTGACACCTTATAGCGCATATGTTCAAACAACAGAGAAATAATAGCAGCGTAACATAGGAAACCACCCTACATCTTCCAACAACAGACTGGTACTACAAATATACATCACATGCAGTTTCTACTACAATTGTTACAAGATTCGATTGAGACAGACATCTAAGAAACACGTGAGGTTAAGAAACATCAGTTTCTTATTGACTATCAGCGAGATGTATTGCAGGGCCATAGGTACTATTGATGTGGGGAGGGGGGACGTTCCTCTAAAAATTACAGAAACTCTTTTTTACAATGGAAAATCCTCTTCTGTTTCTATTCTTCTTAAACAATTGTGTCCCTCGACTATTTCTTTCCTTTCTACGGCATTGGATAAAGTTTTGAAACATCTGCCAAAAGGAGAAGATTGTGGTGCTAGAGAGCACATGTAGACTTGAATGAAGGCATCTCGACTACCGAGCAACGGTAGCTGGATAATCTAACAAAATCATGCCATATCGTATTGATTTAAATAATTTATCTTGCGCAGAAGGTTGGGGTATCAAAAGCACAAATAACAAAACAAAGAGGATATCCCATTACTTTTACAGAATTTGAGGCGTCCAAAGAGATTGTCGAATGATTCTGGCTGTTGTTTTTAACAGAAAGCTGAAAAATGAATAACATTTTGCTAAAGAAATTATGATATTTTGTCAACAGAAACTTCTGTTCTTAGCGTAGGGATCAATTCTCTGAGTTTCATACGAGACAGACAACCAGAAGATTATTTCACAGCGACTCTGATCAGAAAATACCTCCTACAATAAATAGACAGTTTTTGAAAGTTTCTCTTAATTGACAGTTTTTTAATGAACTTTCTTTTTGTCTAACATGCTAAGCCTTAAGCCTTCATAGGTTTATTTATATCACAAACTATTCCATATGTTTTCAAAATGATAAATGGTCAATTTGAAATTGAAAGGAAAAGTACTCGACAAAGTGACTGGTCAGTTTTAAAGAACAAATAAACTTTTCAAAATTCTGATTTAAATCTGACAAGGGATAAAAAGAAAATTTGCTACATGTCAGATTTATTAACTGCTAAATGATCTTGGAATATTATGAGAGTGACTGGAGTTAATAGTCGACAAGAACAAATAAATAAAATCACAGTCTTTGTCTAGAAATGGGATAATCTTTAGTCCCCCATGCTATTTCGTCAAACTACAATTATAATAGACTACGCTTACATATCTCTTTCATATAAAGGGTATTTTATAACTGGCTCTAACAGTCGTTGTGATAAACAACTTCATGCACAAAAAGTTAAAGGCAGAATATGCGATGTGAATGGAAATGCTTGAAAGTGTAGGAGTGTGTAGCGTTTTTGTTGATGATCAATAAAGAGGGAGTCACAAATGTCAATAAGTGAGCTGCAGGAGTTGACAAATACACCCAAATGAACTGATAAAGAGGATTGACAAAAGAAACTGACTTGAACTGACGATTAATCTGATATGAGGGTGGCATATTTTTAAAACTTTCTTTTAGCAAGTTGATATTGGTTTCAAAGCCCTTGGTTAACTCTAGACTACAAAAACAGTTCTTCTTTGTTTTGAGGAATATGTCAGGACGTAGCTGATCTCAGGTTATGATAGAAGGGGAAAGAAGGACTGTTAAATCCGCGAAGATACGGGCCCATTTATACCTTCGAAGAAAGTAGCTAGAAAGATTGATGCAGAAATCTGATGACATGAATTGATTAAAAAGTCTGATTATCAAATGATTGACAGTTTAGGAAGATTGGGGAGAATCAGAGAATGATAGTGCCTTCACTGCAAGATGGCTGACTGATGATGCTGTGCGCACGAGTTCAGGTTCTGGCTGAGACCTGTACTTTAACTAACACAAGCGCTAAATTATGTGCCACATAAGTCAAGGCTGCTTGTTAATGCCTACTATTAGAGATCCTGTAGTGAAGTTGTGTGATTACAATAAGCACAAAGGCATAAAGTGAATGTTACCTTGACTCTGTAGGTAGCCGAACAGTGCTTGCTTGCGACTAAAATGCCCATGATTGAAGTACCCTTGTAGCGAAGGCATCTGAAAGTTGAAAAAATTAGTCACTCTAAAGGACGAAGTACATTTGAAACTTCTCTCGCATTAAGCATGATTTCAAACCTTTATTAAAAATATTAGATATTTTGCAGGATTATTTTCAGGAAAAGTTCTTTTTACAGTGGCTGGATGCCTTTTTTGAAAAAGAGAAACGAATATTTTATTTATCTATTAAAGATATGTTTGACAAACTCATTGACGTAATGTTCAAGCAACTGCACCGGAAACCATTCAATTTTCACGCAGACAATGGAATGAAATGAAGCAAATTAAGGGTGGTGAAAGATATTACCAAAGTATGAGCCATATAGATGTAGAATATTGTAACTGTCTTCATTTTCCAAAGTATCAAAGCAAAAGCTTTTAATTGGAGACACAAATTTTATCAGAAGAGAGAAATTGCAACAGTTTAGCTTTTGAAGTATAAAGTGACTATCCCTTGCCTGCGAAGGAGCATCATAATCTGCACCCACAACATACTTTGTTATATCATTCACATCAAGTGGCTCATAGTCAGTTTGACAAAATCTGCAAGAGTCCAAAGAAAAATACAACAATAACGGTTTAACTTCTAATATAATGAATAGATATTCTAACTTTCAAATTGAAATTTTTTTTGTTATGTATCCTGGTTAAATTAATTTGAAAAGTAAAGTTAACTACGAAATCACTAAAAAAACTTTCATTGATGTTGATTACAATCTATTTACAATACTTATAGAATCATTTATATGCTCAGCAAAATAAATTCTTAAGAAATCTATCGTAGCCGTTGAAGGATACTACTTTTATGATGTCGATAAGCAGGTTGTTATATAAGTTTAACAGCCATCACATGAAAGGACTTGCATGATGCTATCCTAGTATTAATCATAGGGAATTTTAGCAAAGATATATAACTTCCTTTCTTCACCTTGTTAGGCTACCAAAACACAAGGAAACACGGAACAGCACCGTGTCTGAAGAAAAATGCTTTAATGTCAAGACATAAAATCTTGCCTGGATAAATGATGATACATTAGAGTGTCTATTTCACAACTTTGCAAAAACCATATGGGTCAAAAGACGTTTATGCTTTAAATGATAAAATATGGATTTAGAAAAATATACAAGGTTTAATATCCAAATAGTGCAAACAAAGAGTATTAAATAGTGCAAACAAAGAATATCTGGTTACAATAAAGCAGGCAGTGTTAGATGTTTAATCATCGGAGGCAACCTTGCTGCCTTTTTTAATACAGATTTGGCATATATTCTTAGCATGATCATTTATAAGACATACCTGATCAAAATCTCCTCTTCATAATGGTAAACTCTAAGTGGGTTAACAGATGTCACTACAGCATAAACTCCAATGTCAAATTTTCTACAATAAAAATGGACTCAAAAATAACTGGAAGTTTCGTGTTCCCCAAATAGGTATATGGAGGGGATGATCAAATTAATGATGCATGATGCTTTTCATGATGAGAATCTAATATAATGGTCAAGCTCATAGTCATATGTGCAAATATGTCAAATTTTCTTTGTTCCAATTAAAATTCTGGAAAATTCGGCAACTTGCCGGAGTTCAGAAACAAATCAGGCCAGAACCGGATTTCAGAAAGAAATCCGGCCGGAGCTGGGTTTCAGAAACAAATCTGGCCATATCCATGAATCAAAATGGATATGTATTTTTCCAGTATAAGCTCTAAAGCTACTTCACACTTGCGCCTTGTTGGGTAGGCACAGCTTCTCATTTTCCTGATTCTCATGATGGTCAACATGTTTCTTAATAAGATTTGGTTCACTAGTTCTCTAGCCTCTAGACGTTTCAGAAAAATGAGAAAAAGCCTTATTTCTCATATTTGCATCAATTTCTAACATATTTTGGGGCTTCCAAAGGGTTTTGATGAAAAATGAAATCAAATTTGATTAAAGGCTCTTGCACAGCCGACACGCTTTGCTAATACAATTCAAAAGACTGACCTAATATCATACGGCATGAAAATACAAAACACAGTCAATTTCTCAAGACAACTGCAGCTAAGCATGCCAGTTGCGCAAGAGCTTTCAAATGAATTCTTTCAAATGAAGGGGTTGTAGCTTGGTCAAAACCAACCAAGGTGCAAGTAGCTTGGAAATAACAAATTAAACCACAGAATAGCTGAATCCACATGAGCTGTTCATCAGCTACAAACAATATGGACAAATAGACTTCATATTACAAGTGAGAGAAGATTGTATCATACAGAGCCATTTTGAAAAAGTACAGCTGCTTCAAAAAGCTTCTGGTGTCTCTACTAAACAGATTTAAAATCATTTAGGGCTGGTTATACTAACAAAACAAACCTTTTGTCAATGAGTAGGGGATTTGATATATACAATTGGACAAAAGAGCCTTCAGCTTTGAAATCCAAATCTTGAAAAAGAAGAAATAAAGTGTCACTGCAATGATCAATTGGTTAAGTGAGTTGCATAGTCACAGCTTTAACATTGAAAAGGCAAAATGACTGAAGACAAAAAGATGTGGATCTGGAAAACTTTAAAGACTAGCCAGTTCTTTAATCTACAATTTTGACCTTACAAGCTAAAGATCTTGCAAAACATTATTGACAAGTAAAACCCCATTGGTGTGAGAAAATGTCTTCATTTCATAATTTTATGTATGGAACAGACTAAGATTGCTATGTATGTCAGACCTAGTTTAAGTATGTCAAAACACACAATCCACTACTAGTTTAAGTCATCATAGAAAGAGTACAGTCTATGAAGAAACTGGTTTGTTATGATGATCTTATAAGAATGACTGGCAACTGAAAAAAATTTGGAACCAGCAAATTTCTTACTTGAAGCACTTAAAGCCTCAGGGTACAGTCAATTCAGCTAAACTACAAAGAAAAACCTAGCAGTCTATTACATTGACAGCAACATTACAACAAGTAAAATATGTAAGTGATGAATTAGAAAATTGATTGCTAATTACTTGATGAACCTATGGCAGAGTAAAGGATCTAATTCAATTCTTAAGTTAGCCTGTAATTTGAAGATTGAATACTGAAATGGGCATCCCAAAAAGTTGCAACAGCCTGCTTACCATTCATGCTGACAATCTTTATGCCCCGGTGGTCATTGCTTTTCTGAACCCATAAATTATTAGGGTTTAGCTTTGCCTAAAAAAGAATCAATGCATCAAATCACACAGATATCTCAGCTAAAGAATCCTATCACCTGTCTTCAATAATCAACTGATGGAACTTGGGGGGGGGGGGGTGACTTTTAGAGTAACAAAAATCAAAATTCATTCGTCAACAAGATGATCACATAACCAATTATCAAAGAAATGTCTAGATTCCTTGAAATTTCATACATATTCAGTATTTTAGAATTTCTAGCCTGGCAGGGATAAATGAAGAAGGGTTGTAGCCCACAATCAAGCTCTTTCAAAGAAGGTAAATTAAAGTTGTGCCCTATGAAGTCATCATTGATTTAATTAGCAGACAAAATCTAGAGGGAATCATAAAAAAGACAACATGTTACTTGTTGTATAAATATTCCATCAGATGATCAGCTTGACAAACCTTAATTTTTGCAAGAGGAACCACAATGTGATCTATTTTTTAAGATTATCCAGCTGTGTCAAAACAAATCCATCCATCTAATCAAACCTCATTATTTGTGTTTATTCAGTGCAAGTAAAAGGGCACTAATGAATATGCAGAAATAAAATCATCTTGGAAAATAGCTTATGTAAAAAAATGACATTTATACTCCTCCAAACATACTTCTGTCATCAATGCAGACTTCTCTTTGGGTATTTGGAAAGCCTTTGGAATCCACTTTAATTTTGATGTTGCAAGCTCAACCTTGAGTGTGATAAATCCTGAACCTGGAACATGGTTAACCTGTATTTCAAAAGAAATAGTGACTGTGATTTTCCTTCTAAAACCGTTACTACAAATCATCATTTATTCATAACATTTGATTTGGTTCCATGTGATATGCTACATATTGTGTATCTCGAATTCTGTTGTCTTTAATCATCTTATTTATAACTTTCATATCATTAAGTGTGTATCATACCTTTTTTCTACCTTAGATACTTTTACACTACTTTTTTGAAGAAAATCATTTTATGCAAATGAATCTATATATATCTAAAGAATGTAGTCAAATTGATTTTCTATAAAATTTGACAAAGCTGACTACAATGAATATTTACTCTTCTATGAAGAAGTTGGGGATCATTGATAATCATCATCAGAATAAGTTCTGAAGAACTTAAAAAATCAATCTGACTTACTGAATGATTATTTCTGTATAAAGTGACTAAAGATATTTACCATCTGATATTTATTTAGATTTTTCAACATATGGGACATTTCTTTTCTAAATGGATACTCAAAGGACCACATCACATCCCATTGCATTGGTGGTGAAGTTGCATGAACAGTTGTGTAGCCAAGTCTTCCAAAAACATTCATCACATGATTCAGATGATATACCTTCAAAGCAATTATGATCCATGTATCAAACTGTCTTAAAAAAAGCTGAATCCCAACTTTTTTACTAGCAGCAAGAAATTATGTATCAGAAACATCAAGAATATAGGAAAAGAAAATTATTGAAGAAAGAAAGGGAATTGTGGTGGCTGATAAAGTATGACAATTACAAAGTAGCAAGTTTTCAACTACAAACAAAATCATTTTTGTGCCATGACCATTAGTTTCAATTCACTCAAAGAAAAATTTGCTTTGAACTTGGATGTTTTTAGGATTGGACAAGTTCACCTTGCTATTCATAAAGCGAGCTGTCGATAACTGGCCTCCTTTTTAGGCAGGCCAGAAACAAAAAGGACAGTGTTAAAAATTGACCCTGTAGCATTTAAAAGTTATTAGTTTTTTTTACATCTGCTAGTGGCTAAAAAACAATTTGTAGAAACTATTAGAGACTAAATAGATTTTAAGAGGGATGGTCAATTGTGCACATTTTTACCAAGCATGTTAACGCTGAACTCACTTTATGCATATTAAAATTTCGAACATGGCGTTTGTTTACCTCTTTTGAAAATATCCATGCCACTTTTGGTTTGGGCATTGCAAACCCAGTCAACGCATGTTCCCATGGAAGGTGGTACAGCTGATATACGTTCAATGCAATCATCAAAATACCGATGGAAAGTACACCTAGCACAGCGTAGATTGTTTTTATCTTAATTGTCCTGTTTTTGCCATCAGCCATTTTGGAGAGACCTTCTTTTTCTAAGAGCAGCAGAAACTGACGTCCTTCTTACAGTTTGAGTGACTACCTGCACCCACGAGAAATGCAACAGGAACCCATTAAGCTGCAAATGAGCTATCTCATTTGTAAGTAACTATTGTTTTTCGACATGAATCAGCATTTTCACATTTAAATTCAAGTTGTGTCCTGTTCATTCAACATTCATTGTCATATTCAAAGCCTGTGTTGTTGCTGCTCGATGTTGTTGTGGTCTTGCTTGACCACTATCAACATGCACGAAATGGGTCAACAAGAAACAATTTTCGTTTCATTTCATCCATATTTTCAGCAATAAACATATTTACATGTTTGTATAAATATAAAGAAGCTAATAATTTAGAAGAAAATGATTTCCACCACTTAGTCCAACACTAAGTTTGATTTCGTGTATATAGCTGTCTTTACGACGCACTTAACGACAGACCATTAAATAGTAATATTCATTAGTTTGATTTTTAAGCTGTTATATGTAGTTTATTCAGAACATTTGCTCTTCTTAGTAATGTGTTGCTTTACAGTTCAGCATATTTGTACAAGTTCTTTGGTTTTTGTAACATGTAAAAAGCAGCTCATAACATTTCATTATTTAAAGTAACTTTTCGTAACTTTCATCCATTAGGAAAATAGCAAATTGAAGTGGAATGAAAGGCTGCATTTTTTCCAAAAAAGGAATGTTTTGTCTCCTTAACACTCTATTTTGTATCATTAATAACCGGCAAATGAAATAAAAACCTATTTTAAGGACAAATTTTATTTAAAAAATAGCCACAGTGAAACAAAGTTTTTGGAATACAAGATGTTTTATTATCTCTTCTCTGATTGTGTTACAAAATGGGAGATACCCCATCCATGTACGTGCCTCTTCTCTAATGGCATTAGCTTCTTATATAGGAGTTTTCCTAAAAGAAACTGACAACTTGTCATTGCGCACAATCAACCAACCATTATGTGCAATGGCTGACATTATTTCCCTTATCAAGAACCGGATTTAAAAAACCTATCTTAATTGAGGGATCGTTGAATCACGTAAATCAAACTCTGCAGGTTCTAAAATTCTATGAAAACAAAAAATTTTTCTCATTGCTAATCAAAATACCATAAAAATATGTTCAATTAAAATCAGTGATATTTTGTTAAAAATATTTAGAATACCTGTAAGGTGATAAATCATCTAAAATACTGGAAAGACTGTCCCCAATTTGTTATATTCGACTAACTATACTAAAGATGTGAAATGTTAAATGCATAGAAATATATCTAGCCTATGCAGCAAAAAAGCATACAAAAACGAAATTGCAAAACGAATACAAGCATGGGAACAAAGACAGTTGTTACTATTGTCTTGAAATCAGGGAACAATATCGCAACAAAAAACGTCAAATTGGTAAAGGGGAAAGTCCAAAATAAGCCAGTGAATACGGACTGGGCTTAGAGCTTGAAATTTTCAGGGAATCTTGTAACATAGGCATTTTGTAAGTGACAATCGTCAATAGAGTCCTAGCTTTGGTATTAATGATCTCGTTGTGCCTATCTAAAGCCTTATCGAATGACACACAAAGTTAATATTACCACAAGCAAAAAACCGTCAAATTGGTAATGGGGAAAGTCCAAAATAAGCCAGTGAATACGGACTGGAATTAGAGCTTGAAATTTTCAGGGAATCTTGGAACATAGGCATTTTGTAAGTGACAATCGTCAATAGAGTCCTAGCTTTGGTATTAATGATCTCGTTGTGCCTATCTAAAGCCTTATCGAATGACACACAAAGTTAATATTACCACAAGCAAAAAACCGTCAAATTGGTAATGGGGAAAGTCCAAAATAAGCCAGTGAATACGGACTGGAATTAGAGCTTGAAATTTTCAGGGAATCTTGGAACATAGGCATTTTGTAAGTGACAATCGTCAATAGAGTCCTAGCTTTGGTATTAATGATCTCGTTGTGCCTATCTAAAGCCTTATCGAATGACACACAAAGTTAATATTACCACAAGCAAAAAACCGTCAAATTGGTAATGGGGAAAGTCCAAAATAAGCCAGTGAATACGGACTGGAATTAGAGCTTGAAATTTTCAGGGAATCTTGGAACATAGGCATTTTGTAAGTGACAATCGTCAATAGAGTCCTAGCTTTGGTATTAATGATCTCGTTGTGCCTATCTAAAGCCTTATCGAATGACACACAAAGTTAATATTACCACAAGCAAAAAA